TTTAGACAGGCTTTACAGCTGTAGGGCTTATGTAAGGCTGCTCGGATCTTTAATGTGGGTCTTATGCAACAACCGTTCCCTCAAACTGGCACGCTTTCCTTGAAGCCGGGCTTCGACAACCCCAAACCCTAAGCTGTACGCTACGTGCTCATCTCGAAGCCAGCCGGGTGGCTTCTTGATCGTCGCATCCCTCGGATCTGGCGTCGGCCTTTTCACGAAGCGAAGGCTGCCAGCGGCAAGGTTCAGCATGATCTCCTGTGCGCACCCAATCCGACACTTCGGAGCCACAACTACATTGCGTTATATAATATGTTTATGTGTGTGTATGCATATATACATACATACATACATACATACATACATACATACATACATACATACATACATACATATATATATGTGTGTGTGTGTGTATATGTATGTATATATGTATATATGTGTGTGTACACACATCATCACACATCCCTCTCTCCCTCTTCATGTTAATGTGCTTCAGTCTATAACCGGGCTAGGATCACGACCATGACGAATGAAGTCATTGCACTCGTGCGGCCCTTCCTGGTGTGCAAGCTCTGGCTTGCTGCCCAACGCTAGATGTCACCGAATTGCTGCGATGTGCTGCACTGCAAAGCAAGCAAATAGCTAGCAAATAGCTGCGACAACCGTTCAAACTGAAGAAACCGAGAACTGTGAAAGCTAACCTTTCCAGGAATTTTCAGCACCGTCAGCACAGGGGCCTCGCTTTCTTTATTCTTGCTGGCTCAAGGGGCCAACGGTTTGTAGTTGGAGCAAACTATCTTCCCAAACCAATAAATTTCAGTCCCACTGGTCACCCTGTTTGTTGGACGACGTGAGTGGTATTGCAATGGTGGGTTGCCCCGCGGCCAGATGTCATCGAAAGTCATATGACAAACTTCGGCTGACCAAAAAATGCTTCACGAAAATCCAGCTTGAGGAGCGATTGATCCAGGACACACACACACACAACGAAGGCACGTGGGCGCGGTGGGCTCCTCGCTTCCTCCTGGGATGGCCCAGGCTTTCACCTCGCGGTACACGCGCTCCACCTGCTCGGGGAGTGAGGCGCCGCCACCCGTGAGCCAATGACAAACTTAGGGTTTCGGTAGTGGGGGTTAAGGGTTTAGGGCTTTTAGGGGCCAGGGTCTTGGGCTCAGGAATCAGCGGTTTTGACACTCGATTTCGGGCAAGCTACGAGCAGGCAGCTACTCGGCCTTGAGGTTCTGAGGTTCTGGGATTACAAGCTCCACTTCTAGGGCCTTCAGGGTTTGGCATGCAGCATCCTTCAGAATTTTTTCGGGAGCTGCGTTCGTTGGACAGCAAAGTAAACGGATGAGGGTCCTATCAAGCTTCCGAGGAGCCTTCTCACCCTGACCGGTGCGGGTGTAGCCCGCACCGCCGAAGACCTGCAGGGCCTCTCTCGCGCAGTACTCCACCGTCCTGGGGCACCAGGAACTTCAGATGATACAACGTCAGGGCAGCGTTTTCCTCAAGATCGCTCCGTGCTGCAGACAAGGGGCTTCGTGGCCGAAACCTTGAGGAGGGCGATGTAGCCGCCGAGCTTCTTGTTCTGCTCCTCCTTGGTCCTGGGTCAAGCGCAATTTGGATATATCCGCATTGGGTTCAGACAGTGTTTGCCTGTATTGTTCAGACCCCTTCAAAGACAAGAAGTTGCTAGATCGAGTTCGGGATCATGGTGGTGAGCTGGAACGTCCTTGGCTGCTTGCACAATGCTCTAACGCAAACTGCCACGAACCTGGAAGTCTTCGATCCCCCTCCTCTGATCTTCAGGAAAATCATCTCTAGCAGCCCTCGAGAGCAAAAAAAAACCTGCAAAGAAACTTCA